CTCCATCCAGGAAAGGTGCTGGTTGCAGTATGTTATACGGATGCTGTTTTTGAGGGAACAACCACACAAGGGGTGGGAAGCTGCGTTAAGCAGGCTGGTCCAGGCAGAGATGTGGCTGGATGAAAGCTACAAAGCCCTCCATTGGCATGTAGCCCAAGCATGCCCTTGGACAGCAGATGACGGAAGGCTTTGGCTATGACTGCTTGGGGCTGTTTTCTGGAGGCTGTCAAAGAACCCTGACTTTGGAATGGCGATTGGAGGAAATCTTGGATTATAGAGACCAGGTCCTGAACATCTCGGAAGTGCCCTGGGCACAGGAAGATATGGAGTTTCTAGCCCTTCAGGAATGGGAGCTGGAACAAGCGTATAAAAGACAGTTCGACAAAGCTCAGCCGTATGCCCCGGCACCCATGGATGGTATGGATTAGGAGTTACCCACCGAAGTGCCGGCACCGGGCCCAAGTGCTGCCAGCCCATGTTCTGGATTTTGAGCAGTTCCACAGACTGAGGATTTAATAGACGTTCCTGCTAAGGAGGAACAACCCAGTGAGTCTCCAGCAGAACAGTTGGCTTTGAGTGCTGCTGACCTCTGCCTACAAAAATCAGTGGCGCTGGAGGATTTGTGCGAGGTCACCGAATTTTTAATTTTGTTTCTCAGCGGAAGAGCTGGCATCACTGCAGAGCGCCACTGGCCTCTGTTCAGCACCAACAGCACTTCCGAAGCTCCAGTGAGACAGGGTGGGCAGTCCTTCTCCCCAGCAGTCTGTGAACAGCAATTTTCAAGTCTGGCCACAGATTCTCCATGGGATTTAGGTCTGGACTGTGACTGGGCCATTCTAACCCATGAAGATGCTTTGATCTGAACCATTCCATTGTAGCTCTGGCTGAGTGTTTCGGGTCGTTGTCCTGCTGGAAGGGGAACCTCCGTCCCGGTCTCAAGTCTTCTGCAGACTCTCACAGGTTTTCTTCTAAGATTGCCCTGTATTTGGCTCCATCCATCTTCCCATCAACTCTGACCAGCTTCCCTGTTCCTGCTGAAGAAAAGCATCCCCACCACATGATGCTGCCACCACCATGTTTCACAGTGGGGATGGTGTGTTCAGGGGGATGGGCAGTGTTAGTTTTCCCCCACACACAGTGTTTTGCTTTTAGGCCAAAAAGTTCCATTTTGGTCTCCTCTGACCAGAGCCCCTTCTTCCACATGTTTGCTGTGTCCCCCACATGGCTTCTCACAAACTGCAAACGGGACTTCTTATGGCTTTCCTCCAACAATGACTTTCTTCTTGTCCCTCTTCCATAAAGGCCAGATTTGTGGAGTAACGACTAATAGTTGTCCTGTGGACAGATTCCCCCATCTGAGCTGTGGATCTCTGCAGCTCCTCCAGAGTTCCCATGAGCCTCTTGGCTGCTTCTCCGATGAATGCTCTCCTTGCCCGGCCAGTCAGTTTAGTTGGACGGCCATGTCTTGGTAGGTTGTCAGTTGTTGCCGTACTCTTTCCATGTTCGGATGATGGATTGATCAGTGAGATGGTCAAAGCTTGGGAGATTGTTTTTTTTTATAACCGACCCTGCTTTAAAAAAATTCTCCACAACTTTATCCCTGACCTGTCTGGTGTGTTCCTTGATGCTGTTTGTTCACTAATTTTCTCTAACAAATCTCTGAGGGCTTCACAGAACAGCTGGATTTATACTGAGATCACATGACGTACAGGGGGGCTCTATTTATTAATTAGGTGACTTCTGAAGGCAATTGGTTCCACTAGATTTTAGTTAGGGGGATCAGAGTAAAGGTGGCTGAATACAAATGCCGCCACACTTTTCACAGATTTATTGGTCACGAATGTTGAAAACCATTTCTCATTTTCCTTCCACTTCACAATGATGTGCCACTTTGTGTCGGTCTATCACATCCAATCCTAATAAAAACACATTGTAACATGGCAACATGGGGGAAATTTCAAGGGGGGAGGAAGACAACATGGGGGACATTTCAAGGGGGAGGAAGACAACATGGGGACATTTCATGTTGGAGGAAGACAACATGGGGGACATTTCAAGGAGGAGGAAGACAACTTGTGGGACATTTAATGGGGGAGGAAGACAACATGGGGACATTTCATGGGGGAGGAAGACAACATGGGAACATTTCAAGGGGGAGGAAGACAACATGGGGACATTTCATGGGGGAGGAAGACAACATGGGGGGGCATTTCATGGGGGAGGAAGACAACATGGGGGGACATTTCATGGGGGAGGAAGACAACATGGAGGACATTTCATGGGGGAGGAAGACAACATGGGGGACATTTCATGGGGGAGGAAGACAACATGGGGGACATTTCATGGGGGACATTTCATGGGGGAGGAAGACAGCATGGGGGACATTTCATGGGGGAGGAAGACAACATGGGGGACATTTCATGGGGGAGGAAGACAACATGGGGGACATTTCATGGGGGAGGAAGACAACATGGGGACATTTCATGGGGGAGGAAGACAACATGGGGACATTTCAAGGGGGAGGAAGACAACATGGGGGACATTTCAAGGGGGAGGAAGACAACATGGGGGACATTTCATGGAGGAGGAAGACAACATAGGGAACATTTCATGGGGGAGGAAGACAACATAGGGAACATTTCAAGGGGGAGGAAGACAACATGGGGACATTTCATGGGGGAGGAAGACAACATGGGGGGGCATTTCATGGGGGAGGAAGACAACATGGGGGACATTTCATGGGGGAGGAAGACGACATGGGGGACATTTCATGGGGGAGGAAGACGACATGGGGGACATTTCATGGGGGAGGAAGACAACATGGGGGACATTTCATGGGGGAGGAAGACAACATGGGGGACATTTCATGGGGGAGGAAGACAACATGGGGGGGGGCATTTCATGGGGAGGAAGACAACATGGGGGACATTTCATGGGGGAGGAAGACAACATGGGGGACATTTCATGGGGGAGGAAGACAACATGGGGGACATTTCATGGGGGAGGAAGACAACATGGGGGACATTTCATGGGGGACATTTCATGGGGGAGGAAGACAACATGGGGGACATTTCATGGGGGAGGAAGACAACATGGGGGACATTTCATGGGGGAGGAAGACAACATGGGGGACATTTCATGGGGGAGGAAGACAACATGGGGGACATTTCATGGGGGAGGAAGACAACATGGGGGACATTTCATGGGGGAGGAAGACAACATGGGGACATTTCATGGAGGAGGAAGACAACATGGGGACATTTCATGGAGGAGGAAGACAACATGGGGACATTTCAAGGGGGAGGAAGACAACATGGGGACATTTCATGGGGGAAGGAAGACAACATGAGGACATTTCAAGGGGAAGGAAGACAACATGGGGGACATTTCATGGGGGAAGGAAGACAACATGGGGACATTTCATGGGGGAAGGAAGACAACATGGGGACATTTCAAGGGGAAGGAAGACAACATGGGGGACATTTCATGGGGGAAGGAAGACAACATGGGGACATTTCATGGGGGAGGAAGACAACATGGGGAACATTTCATGGGGGAGGAAGACAACATGGGGACATTTCAAGGGGAAGGAAGACAACATGGGGGACATTTCATGGGGGAAGGAAGACAACATGGGGACATTTCATGGGGGAGGAAGACATGGGGACATTTCATGGGGGAAGGAAGACAACATGGGGACATTTCATGGGGGAGGAAGACAACATGGGGAACATTTCATGGGGGAGGAAGACAACATGGGGAACATTTCATGGGGGAGGAAGACAACATGGGGAACATTTCATGGGGGAGGAAGACAACATGGGGACATTTCAAGGAGGAGGAGGACAACATGGGGGAATATTTCAAGGGGGAGGAAGACTTTACAAGGCGCTGTATGCCTGAGCATACAAGGACAGACATGACATATACCTGGCAATACAAGCACATTTCCCCATTGTCATCTCTTTCACAGCACAGACATCTAACGATCTCCTGATATATATCTAGCTGTAGTGAGCTGACTGCACAGTGACTACAGAACACCTCCCATGTAAGAAAGGGGTCCTGTAGTCTTGTCTTAAAGGGACAACATGCTTTTTAATAAATTCAGTACAGAGAGTGTTGTCATCCTAGGGCAGGAAAGTTATTGTCAGGATCACCAGGTGAAAATAATGAAAACAATTCCTGATAGTGGCACACTTCGCAGTCACCACATCTACGGACTGGTAAGCAGCAATAGGTTACTTCTCCCCCTTTGCCAACCTGCTGAACTTTATCAACAGGACCTTTCCATTTTCATTACATACGTTGTGTTAGATCCAGTGATGTCATTACTGGTTCTCTGTGCTTCGCTATACAATGCAGGCAGATCATGACTAGTGGGAGGGGCCAGCATAGTGCTTCTCATAAACATCACAGCCCCTTAGTACTCCTCTCAAGAGCCCTCAGTCCTTCTGCGAGCAGTGGGAGGAGTTATGCAAACATCAGCATGCCTGGATGCGTGGGTGTCGGTCTGGAGGAGTGGGCTTCCTAGACGGGTTGTATTTGCATAGGTAATACCCACATGGGATACTGAAATCTAATGAAAGGGGCGGGGCCAAGGACAGTCAAGCTGAGGAGCAAATAGCTAGATGATGCGGGACGTCCTCCAGACAGGAAATGAGGCGGAGCTCTATCTGACAGGCTGCAACTTCTAATGCACATTGTGAGAAGCTCCCAGTGTGCAGTGACATCAGAGGAAGCCGGTCCAGGGGAGGAGTCGGTACACCTGAGCAAGACTGAAGGGGAGGAGTCGGTACACCTGAGCAAGACTGAAGGGGAGGAGTCGGTACACCTGTGCATGACTGAAGGGGGAGGAGCTGGTCCAAGACTGGAGGGGAGGAGCCAGTACTCCTGTGCAAGACTGAAGGGGAGGAGCCGGTACACCTGGGCAAGACTGAAGGGGAGGAGCCGGTACACCTGGGCAAGACTGAAGGGGAGGAGCCGGTACACCTGGGCAAGACTGAAGGGGAGGAGCCGGTACACCTGGGCAAGACTGAAGGGGAGGAGCCGGTACACCTGGGCAAGACTGAAGGGGAGGAGCCGGTACACCTGGGCAAGACTGAAGGGGAGGAGCCGATACACCTGGGCAAGACTGAAGGGGAGGAGCCGGTACACCTGGGCAAGACTGAAGGGGAGGAGCCGGTACACCTGGGCAAGACTGAAGGGGAGGAGCCGGTACACCTGGGCAAGACTGAAGGGGAGGAGCCAGTACACCTGGGCAAGACTGAAGGGGAGGAGCCGATACACCTGTGCAAGACTGAAGGGGAGGAGCCGGTACACCTGGGCAAGACTGAAGGGGAGGAGCCAGTACACCTGGGCAAGACTGAAGGGGAGGAGCCGGTACACCTGGGCAATACTGAAGAGGAGGAGCCGGTACACCTGGGCAAAACTGAAGGGGAGGAGCCGCTACACCTGGGCAAGACTGAAGGGGAGGAGCCGGTACACCTGGGCAAAACTGAAGGGGAGGAGCCGCTACACCTGGGCAAGACTGAAGGGGAGGAGCCGGTACACCTGTGCAAGACTGAAGGGGAGGAGCTGTGCACCTTTGTAAGACTGAGGGGGAGGAGCTGATACACCTGTGCAAGACTGAAGGGGAGGAGCCAATACACCTGTGCAAGACTGAGGGGGAGGAGCCGGTAAACCTGTGCGGGACTGGTGGGGAGGTGCCGGTACACCTGTGCAAGACTGAAGGGGAGGAGCCGGTACACCTGTGCAAGACTGAAGGGGAGGAGCCGGTACACCTGTGCAAGACTGAAGGGGAGGAGCCGGTACACCTGTGCAAGACTGAAGGGGAGGAGCCGGTACACCTGTGCAAGACTGAAGGGGAGGAGCCGGGACACCTGTGCAAGACTGAAGGGGAGGAGCCAAGACACCTGTGCAAGACTGAGGGGGAGGAGCCGCTACACCTGTGCAAGACTTAGGGGGAGGAGCCGCTACACCTGTGGAAGACTGAGGGGGAGGAGCCGCTACACCTGTGGAAGACTGAGGGGGAGGAGCCGCTACACCTGTGGAAGACTGAGGGGGAGGAGCCGCTACACCTGTGGAAGACTGAGGGGGAGGAGCCGCTACACCTGTGGAAGACTGAGGGGGAGGAGCCGCTACACCTGCACATGAGTAGAGAGTGAAGGTCTTGCTGTGTGACAATGAAGAGACAATAGCTGAGTGTACCTCCTTATGGTATAGGTGGGAGACGCATGAAGTAAATAATTCTTTTCAAATTTAAAAAAGACAAAGTCCAGCCAGAGAGGTCTGTGTGGTGTGATCACTTGCAGTGCCTGGTGTCAGGGTGCGGGGCAGATTGTCCTCATTGTGTGTCATTGCTATGTTGTGTCTGCGGGTGATGGGAGTGATGTGTTATCTAATATCAGAGGCGTGTTTCCCTGGGGCTCCTGCAGGTGGAGTCAGAGGACCGGCTGATGAATGGATGGTGTTGTCCTCCATCGCTCTCCCTCACTCCTCTCACCTCTTACATAAGAGTGCAGCGGCTGTAGTCAGAGCTCAGCCCGGCGTCTGTCCCTACCTGGAATCTACAAGGCTGTCCCTGATCCTGGGGGCCCCGGGGCCAACATGCGTCTTCTCGATGAGTCTACGCAACCTGCAGGTATGCGCAAACTTCTGTCCTGTCCGGCTCTGACTCTGTATGTGTTTCATCATTTAAAATGAAGTTTGTGTAATCCCCCCCCCCCCAGAGAAGATCATAGCAGTGCCTACTACAGAGGTGTCGACCCCCCCCCCCCCCCCAGAGAAGATCATAGCAGTGCCTACTACAGAGATGTCGACCCCCCCCAGCACAGAGAAGATCATAGCAGTGCCTACTACAGAGGTGTCGACCCCCCCCCCCCAGAGAAGATCATAGCAGTGCCTACTACAGAGATGTCGTCGACCCCCCCCCCCCAGCACAGACATATGTACATTGGCCCAAGGTGGGGCATTGTAATTATGCAGAAATAGCCGTACCTGCAATTCTGCTTTAAAGACATATTCCATCTGGTGTTTCAGTTGTAGGTGCCCGGGAACTCAGCATAGGGATGGTGGGAACCCCTCATAATGGGCACAGCGGGTGTACAGACCCGGGAACTCAGCACAGGGATGGTGGGAACCCCTCATAATGGGCACAGCGGGTGTACAGACCCGGGAACTCAGCACAGGGATGGTGGGAATCCCTCATAATGGGCACAGCGGGTGTACAGACCCGGGAACTCAGCACAGGGATGGTGGGAATCCCTCATAATGGGCACAGCGGGTGTACAGACCCGGGAACTCAGCACAGGGATGGTGGGAACCCCTCATAATGGGCACAGCGGGTGTACAGACCCGGGAACTCAGCACAGGGATGATGGGAACCCCTCATAATGGGCACAGCGGGTGTACAGACCCGGGAACTCAGCACAGGGATGGTGGGAATCCCTCATAATGGGCACAGCGGGCGTACACACCCGGGAACTCAGCACAGGGATGGTGGGAACCCCTCATAATGGGCACACAGCGGGTGTACAGACCCGGGAACTCAGCACAGGGATGGTGGGAACCCCTCATAATGGGCACAGTGGGCGTACACACCCGGGAACTCAGCACAGGGATGGTGGGAACCCCTCATAATGGGCACAGTGGGCGTACAGACCCGGGAACCCAGCACAGGGATGGTGGGAACCCCTCATAATGGGCACAGCGGGCGTACAGACCCGGGAACCCAGCACAGGGATGGTGGGAACCCCTCATAATGGGCACAGTGGGCGTACACACCCGGGAACTCAGCACAGGGATGGTGGGAACCCCTCATAATGGGCACAGCGGGCGTACAGACACGGGAACTCAACACAGGGATGGTGGGAACCCCTCATAATGGGCACAGTGTGTGTACAGACCCGGGAACCCAGCACAGTGATGGTGGGAACCCCTCATAATGGGTACAGCGGGGGTACAGACCCGGGAACTCAGCACAGGGATGGTGGGAATCCCTCATAATGGGCACAGCGTGGGTACAGACCCGGGAACTCAGCACAGGGATGGTGGGAACCCCTCATAATGGGCACAGGGATGGTGGGAACCCCTCATAATGGGCACAGCGGGGGTACAGACCCGGGAACTCAGCACAGGGATGGTGGGAATGATGCTGCTTGATCACATGGGGATGTCGGTCAGATCCTGGTCACAGTTCTATAATCTCGGGACTTTTTCTGTAATCACAGAGGCTGCTAAACCTCCTTACATAAGATGAGAGAAGGAAGAGTTCTGTCCCCAAATTTTTCACAAAATGACTTCCTACTCCCTCACCGTCCCTCCGAGTAATGGAGGGGCGGCAGGAACTTTTTCATTTTCTTTTCTAAATACATTTTATTGGGTTTTACAATTATTATTATTATTATTATTCAGGATTTATAGATCTCCAGTTTGCTCAGCGCTTTACAATATATTGGGGGACAGTAGAGGAGGAGTAGGAGGGCCTTGCTCGTGGAGCTTACAATTCAATACAACCTATATAAGGCTTTTTGAAGTTATGAGGTCATCCCAGCGAAGTGCGTGACGTTCGCGGACTGCGGACCTCGCCCTCACGCGTTTCGTCATTTTCTGTTCCAGACGTCATGCTGCATGCTCCAGTTAGCAGAGTGTAGATATTCCCACCTGTCCCCTCAGGTCACGCTGGAAGGCAGGAAGATCAATAAAGGTTTCCTGTTTACTAGAAAAAAAATTTTTTTGGTAGAGTGGGGAGGGGTTAGAACCCCTGTTAGTTTTTATTGCTGTCTCTAATTGCACCAGAAACGTGCAGGACCCTTTTTTGGGTCTGCACTAGAATCGGATTGCACGGGTATTCACACCTACAGTGAAGGAAATGCGTATTTGCTCCCCGGCTGATGCTGAATGTTCGCCCCTCACACAGAAATGATCGGTCTAACAATGGAATGTTCGCCCCTCACACAGAAATGATCGGTCTAACAATGGAATGTTCGCCCCTCACACAGAAATGATCGGTCTAACAATGGAATGTTCGCCCCTCACACAGAAATGATCGGTCTAACAATGGAATGTTCGCCCCTCACACAGAAACGATCGGTCTAACAATGGAATGTTCGCCCCTCACACAGAAACGATCGGTCTAACAATGGAATGTTCGCCGCCCCTCACACAGAAATGATCGGTCTAACAATGGAATGTTCGCCCCTCACACAGAAATGATCGGTCTAACAATGGAATGGTCGCCCCCTCACACAGAAACGATCGGTCTAACAATGGAATGGTCGCCCCTCACACACAGAAACGATCGGTCTAACAATGGAATGTTCGCCCCTCACACAGAAACGATCGGTCTAACAATGGAATGTTCGCCCCTCACAACAGAAATGATCGGTCTAACAATGGAATGTTCGCCCCTCACACAGAAACGATCGGTCTAACAATGGAATGTTCGCCCCTCACACAGAAACGATCGGTCTAACAATGGAATGTTCGCCCCTCACACAGAAACGATCGGTCTAACAATGGAATGTTCGCCCCTCACACAGAAACGATCGGTCTAACAATGGAATGTTCGCCCCTCACCCAGAAATGATCGGTCTAACAATGGAATGTTCGCCCCTCACACAGAAATGATCGGTCTAACAATGGAATGTTCGGTGTAACACTGAGAGACAGAATACAACAACAAATTCAGCAGAAATGCGTCTAACAAATGATGACGGATCTGCATGTTCATGAGGGAAAGAAGGATTTGATCCCCTATCATTCAGCAGGATTTCTGGCTCCCAGGTGTCTCTCATACAGGTAACAAGCTGAGATTAGAAGCAGTCTCTTAAAGGGAGTGCTGCTAATCTCATTGTGTTACCTGTATAAAAGACACCTGTCCACAGGAGCCATCAAACCATCAGATTCCAAACTCTCCACCATGGCAAAGACCAAAGAGCTGTCCAAGGATGTCAGGGACAAGATGGTAGACCTACACAAGGCTGGACTGGGCTACCAAACTATGGCCAAGCAGCTTGGTGAGAAGGTGACAACAGTTGGTGCAATCATTCACAAATGGAAGAAACACAAAACATCCACTTCCAGGCTGCCTGTTTATGGGTAGAAGGAAGTTTGGTGACACCGGCTGAGATCTCTGGAGGGTATTCGTCTTCATCTATTGACCCTAAATGGCAAAATATGGGTTCTGGGGTCATTGTTGCCTTACAGGATTTGTTTTTGGTGTCTGAGTGCCGATCATACCGAGTGCAACTTGCCATGCGATGCGAATTTCAAACCAACTCCAGTGACTGGCTGAGTGATCTCTGTACAGCGCCGCTGTATATGTCAGAGCTATATACATGTATAATAATAATTGTGTGACTGGGGGAGGGGACATTAGAGCGTAAGCTCCTCTGGTACAGAGACTGATGGTACAGTGGGGGAGGGGACATTAGAGTGTAAGCTCCTCTGGTACAGAGACTGATGGGACTGTGGGGGAGGGGACAATAGAGTGTAAGCTCCTCTGGTACAGAGACTGATGTGACTGGGGGAGGGGACATTACAGTGTAAGCTCCTCTGGTACAGAGACTGATGGGACTGTGGGGGAGGGGACAATAGAGTGTAAGCTCCTCTGGTACAGAGACTGATGTGACTGTGGGGGAGGGGACATTAGAGTGTAAGCTCCTCTGGTACAGAGACTGATGGGACTGTGGGGGAGGGGACAATAGAGTGTAAGCTCCTCTGGTACAGAGACTGATGTGACTGTGGGGGAGGGGACATTAGAGTGTAAGCTCCTCTGTACAGAGACTGATGGGACTGTGGGGGGAGGGGACATTAGAGTGTAAGCTCCTCTGGTACAGAGACTGATGTGACTGTGGGGGAGGGGACATTAGAGTGTAAGCTCCTCTGTACAGAGAATGATGTGACTGTGGGGGAGGGGACATTAGA